TCAATTCTTTCTTTTGCTATCAAAATATCCTCTTAAGAACTTTCAATTTCTATAAAATCCAAATAAAATACTTGCAACCTCAAACTAATTGGTTGATTTACTTGAAGTATATGGAATTCCAATTAAGGGACTTGTATATTTTTTCAAAATGTATTCCATGTTTTAACTTATTATTTTTTTTATTCATTCATTCTATAATATCCTACAATATGTTTTTGATTTTTAAGCCAAATTCTTTGGAAAGAACGCTGTTGATGGAGAGAAAGATACTGTCGTAGATGTGCTTGCAACCACACATGCTCCGAAGCAATCAACATAAACAAACGAAGCTCTCTTGGTCTCTGCCTGTGAGTGCTTTGTCTGGCTTGTGGTGCAATTTCAGTCCCGCATACAGGTGAGGATCCTCAAACACAGAACCCATTTTGTGAAAATGCTGCATTGTCTATGGACTGTCCAAGCATAACTTGGTTTCACTAGGTGGGTGATCACTTGTGTCGGTGATGGGTGGGATAAAATGCAGTTGGGTCATCAGCATAATATTCGCAAAGTTGGTGATCATCGCAGCTGCATATGCTTGGAATTGGGTGCAAGGCGTTTTGTCGAAAAGTATGTGTATATATATATGTTTATATATATATATGTATGTATATCTGTGTGTGTGTGTGTTGATTGCTTTACAGATGGTTTTGAGTTTTGAAGGGTGATGAGCACAGTAGTGCGGCGCTAATTGCAGAACACGCCTTTTGAAGTGTCGGCACTAAGGACGATAGCTTGTCGCTTTGCCGCTCTTGGGAAGCCGGAAGGATCGGGTGACTGATAATCGGTTTGCTTCATGATTAGGTCTCGCTGTTTGTGCTAGCACACAGTGACTCAACATCTTTGATGGGCTGCAGGAACTTTCATGGTTTCATGTTCTGGGACCTGATTTTAAGCAGGGTTGGACAGCTTTGATATGAGCAAGACCACCAAAGAAGAATTTCGAACGTAAGGGGGAGACTAAGAAAGTAATTATGCCCGTCCGCTGAGACAATAAGATCTTTTTGTTGGACGAGGAGAACTCGCTGCTTTAGAGAACTAATCCCGATCTTGCTTCTCAGACACATAGCCTGCTAGCGGTGGATGTATTTTTCTCAGCTTAGTTCTTGCACTGAACGTCCTGCAGCGAGTATTGAGCAAAGAATCAGGACAAGTATTCTCGACGAACTTTTGAAACTCCTTCGCAAATTTTCTATAAAAAATTCAATCTTATGAAACTTCCAATCTACAGATGTATTATATCCTTTTAACCACAAAAGTCCTAGGATGTTAAGATTAGATGGAGTTCTAATAATATTAAATATTATTTTACTACTATGGCCATCAAATGATCTTTCTAGCAATATGATATCATGAATCTAAAGATAAAGATCGACTATTCATTACTTCTACATGTACAAATTTTGACTTCTCTAGTAGATGAATATTATGAAGTTTAAAAAAATCATCATCTAAAAAGCAAGTAGAAGCTCTTATTTCTAATAAGGCATTTATTTGAAGTTTTTGTATGCTAAGAAATAAAGGTATAGTAAAACAATGGATAGATTGGATAGAAAAAGAAAAACCTTCATGAATTTGAGATGTTGGAATGTTTAGCTGTACAGTCCCTATTGTCATTAGGTCTCTTCATTTTCCAAAATAATTACACTCTTAGTCCTGATTGTACATTATTTCTTCAAACAAATCTTAGATTTGTCGTCTCTTTTACCACAATATAAGCATGGATCTTATTCAAATTGATGCTTTTTTTTTTTTTTTTTGATGTAAGAAGTTTAAATCATATCACATCAATTTGCATATCTTCAATTCTAGAGTGTAGAAATAATGCATTTGTTGAAGCAATAGAATATGAATTTTCAATACATTGCTTTGTTAAAATCCACGAGCATTAATCTTGAAGGTGTTGAAATAATCAATTATCCTACTTCATAACTTAGTTGATATCTTCATTGAATGTTTGAAGGTCAAATAATGATAATAATAGGTCTTTCACACCATTTCTTAGTTTTCAATAGATTTGGTTTATAAATGCTTGTTCGTCTCAAATGATGTCACAAGCCAATTGTCTAAAATCAAGTGCATAAATTGATGTAAAGCATGATTCTTGACATAATGAGTGAATCTTTCTTATTGTCCATTGAATCTTATCATGTTCTTCAAATGCATCCACAAATACTTCTAAAAAAGCTTCAAAGTTGGCCAAGATTAGAAATCTCTCCTCAAATAAAGGAACAAACTAAGATAAAGCTTATCTTGTGAGTAAGTTTCTAATTAAATTAACTTGTGATTCCTCTATTGGAAAGTGCTAAGATTATAAAAAAGTTACCAATCAAATTTTATTAATAAATCCTTGAAACTTGAAGTATGTGCCATTAAATATTTTTAGAAGATTTATATGAGGCTCTTTATGTTATTGAATAGGTGAATTTTCTTGTTGAGGTACATGTGCTACTATCTCCTTGGATGTAGAAGCTTAAGAAAATAGTCGCATCAAAGATTGCATTGCTTCATGTCTTGCATCACCATGAAAATTTGAAAAGAATTCTTCAATTTCAATAGTTCTATTAGATAAAGTATTTAGTATTTTCATAATAATATCTAACTTGGACTTGGGAGATTCAACTATATTAATATCTTTACCTTTAACCATCCTAAAAGAAAAAAAAAGAAAGTTTCTAAATAATACTAATTTAGAGGAAGGTAATCCACAACCTCTAAAGCACTCAAATGCCTTCAAGAAGAGGGATAATCCACTCTTTATCAAGAAAGATCAAGCTCTAGTATTGATAAGAAAGATAGTATTGACAAACTGTCACAGATATACTATACAAAAGATTGATCAAGAAGTTGAACAAAAGAATTTTAATAAGAAAGCTAGAAAGAACTTGATTAAATCAAATGAACATAAGATCAATATCAAGAGAGGTGAACTAGAGCTCCAAGAAATGTATTGTTGAGACTAAGGATTCTCTCAACCTCAATTCCAATATATATTAGGTATTAGAAAGCTTCTCATGAAATTCTAATATTGCTTGAAGACAAAGCAATCTTAGAAAGCTTCTTAAATAACTTCCTTAATTCTCTTAGAATTTTTAAAAATCTGCTGAAATATTCTAAGAACTTTTTTGAACTTAATAGAATATTCTAAGAATATTTTCAAAATCTTTTTTTTGAATGTTCATAACAAGTGTTACAATTTGATTGAATAATATTTTTAATGTGATTTTTAATAATTTAAATATATAATAGTAGAAAAATAAATCTAGTCTTTATATAACTTGATTTATAAACATGATTTATGTAAGTATAATCTAAGCTTAAAATCATGTTTTTTTTTAAGTTAATTATTCATATAGTTTGTTAAAAAAAAATTATAAGTTTGTTCTTTTTATAAATTACTAGATGTTCCAACATCCTATCTAAATTTGTCATTTTAATAATAAAATTTAAAAGCTCCAATATTTTTTCTTTTTGCACTTAAATTTCTAAAAATATATAGTAAGCTTTTATAAATATTATCTTTAAAGTTAATATTTTTATAAGAATAGATGTTATTATAAAGAATAAAAAAAATCATTGATTTTTTTTAATCAAATATTGATCAAAGATATGCAAATATATATATATATATATATATATATATGTAGATATTTATATTTATATATTTGCAAATATATATTGTCTTTAAATTTTATGTCTTTTTTGCAAATATCTTTATTTTATTATTGTGAAAAAGTATGTTAATTATGTTTGCAAAAAATCAAACAGAAGCCATTTACTGTTATTTTCTAAGCCTTAGGATTTAGATTGTTTTGAGGTCTGAAGAAAAAATTAAAATAAAAAAGGATAAATTAGTGTAAAATTATTCTAATTAAATTTAGTGTAAAATTGTTTAATTTAAAATCCATGACTAAAAAGATCAATCACGGTAGTCTGTGTCAATATTTTAACCACTAGTCTTTTATTTTTAATTCCTAAATATTTTCATAAACATTTTTAAACATAAAATGTATTATAATCTGTTTTTATTAGAAAATTCTGATTATTTTTTAAAACATAGAAAATATTCTTATTTTTAAATAAAAATAAAAATATAATTCTTGGATAATTATATTATTTTATAATACTACAACAACAACAAAATATAAGTATATAATATTATAAGTTTATATATGTACATATATATATATATATATATATATGCATGTCTTTTAAGTGAAGTGATCTTTCATTATAATATTTTTAAACTAATAGACTAGTTTAAAAGAATAAAACCTACTAAGTTGGATATTTTTGTTAAAAGTTAAAACCCCACGATTCAAAAATAATAAAATAATAAAATAATCTTACTTGTTCTTTGATAGTATCAATTATTTTAATTTACAGAAATTTGTTAAAAAGTAGGTAGAACTTTGATAATATTATAATACAACATGTGATGACATGGATAGAGGTATCTATCTAGATATATCTAAAGGGGTGCAAAGGTTCTGTTGACATTCATTCAGTACGAGCTCCCTCCCACAAATTTAGTGGACTGCACGATGGGGGTAGGCAGATCAAAAGCGGGTTGAAGAAGCGTGGCAACAATCGAACCAACACCCACAATTCAATTCTTATCTGCACATCGTCGCAGAGTGGAACCCACACCCCACACCCGGAGAATCTGCAACGCACAACGCCATAACTAACATATCTATACAGCGAGGCAGCGGCACTTGTTGTCCGTAGTGGTGAAAGATTGAGATTATTGAGAGACGAAGACTGAGACTGAGCAAAAGGAAGGAAGGACCCACCCACCCACTCATTGCGCAGCAGCAGCAGCCCTGGTCGTCGTTTCTCTCGCTTCGTCCACGCGGATTGCGAGAGAGAGTCAGCTGGGTCGTGGCATCTCTCTGGGATGACGATGACGTTCCTCAGATGGATGATTGTGGCAGTGCATTAGCATTAGCATTGCATGGAACAGAGAGAAAGAGAGAGCGAGAGTTGAATTGCACCAATATCGCGTTGGTGGGTCTTTGTTTGTTTGGTGGGTTAGTAGTAGTACTAGTAATTAGGTGAGATCTGCCCACCGGGTGGCCCACCGTCCCGCCCCGCCTTGCAACGATTCTCTGTCGTCGTCGTCGTCGTCTTGACGTGGGCCAAGTTCGTTGCTCCGGCTTGGGCTCCGAGAGTTTCAACTGCAAAGCCACTCTTGGAGACCTGCAGAGATTATCCTCCTTAATGGACCGATTTGGTAACTGAGTAGTAGTAGTAGTCGTAGTAATGGTATATACGTAAATATAAAGTATGCTTCTAATTTAGGAATCGACATCAGAAACTCATACTTGGCATATGTTAATAAATGTTTGCTGTTTGTAATTAGCTACAAGGTTGTCTCGTTTTTAAAGTGTAAAGGTAAAATCTTCCATGATTGTGGTATGCTTATTACATTGGCAGAATACAATGTAATGCATGATTGAGATTTTTCTTTTTCTTTTTTAGAGATATTTTGAGAAATAGGGAAATGGAGGAGGAGGAGGGACTTTCGCAGAGAATCGGGGATGGGGGGAAGGGGGGCTGTGAAGTGGTGGAGCTGTGGTGTTGGTGGTGTGGTGTGTGCAGGAGCTGCGTCTCGCATGGGCCGGGGGGTCGAAATTCTCGGGCACTTTCGAGTACTTTCGAGGAATTCCGCCGGGCAACAGCAGCAGGATTACTGCAGTTTTGCGTGCGGAAGCATCCTACCGGACGGAATCGCCACGCTTCCGTCTCCTCTTTCTGATCTGTAACGGCGTGTTCGGGGAAATCGCTGTAGGGAGGAGGTGTTGGATATGCTTGTCCAGCTTATTTAGCCGTACGTAGTTCCAGTCTGGGGTTTTGAGAAAGTTGCAGTAATGGTGTTTCGATGGACTTCTGTTTAGATTGGTGGCATCATTGCTGTCGGGCGATGCGGTTTCTTGTTCGACCATTGCAGTTGCTTTTAGACGCCAATGCTTGGCATGAATGTCTTGAGTGTCTGGTAGCCTAAAACAGAGAGATGATGCAATTGGTATGTGGATCTTCTCTGGTTTTAGAGGAATCGTTCGCTGGCCTCCAGGTTCGAGACAATCGTGCCAAGCTTTGTGCTTTCAAGAGCCTTAATGGTTTTGGACGATGGGTTCTACTGGATCTCTAACATCAAAGATGTATTGTCTTGAGATAACCTGGTCAAAACATTTGACGCAAGGAGGTGCATCTGAAGTCCTGGTGGTATTGTTGCTTTTCTTAGACCATAACATCTCTTGCTGCTTATATTTGTATCCCTTTGCAGAGTTGATGGACACCGAAACGGATCAGGCGAGGGTGTAGGTCCGATGCATGCAACTATAACACTGTCCTTAGCGTGTTCCCTGAAGCGGAGTAGAGTTTTATGTGTTTGCCCCGTTGCATGGAGATGATCAGGAATGCTCACATTGGTTTCCTCTGCTTCAGAAATTGTAGCTTCTCAGTTTCGGAGACGTCTTATATGATTCTTTTTAACCAGAGACTGGTTGGAGGGCAATTGGTTACGCCGGACTCTAATGAAGAGTGCAGAGTTAGTATCTGCAGTGGAGTGGTGTTGCCGACTTTCCTGCACCCGGGTGGGTTCTTTTGTTACAGTAAATCCCCTCATTGTCAATTTGATTTCTGGGTCGTACTTTTGATGCCTTAAAGTGTTACGAAGGTTTGCTACCTGCTGTCTGATACGCACGTAACACGCGGATACTAACTACTGTAATATTGTTTCCATGAATAACCTTGGCACATCATCCATCTCTTACTGCAGATATACGGTGCAAGTCTCTTCTTTACCAGTCCAGCACCGACAGTTTGACGACGCACTAGTTTTGAGTTTGCCTCTACTGCACATTCTTGTTTATCGGTGTAGCTCATGAGTTATCCTCAGGACGACGCTGGTAGCAGAAGACACTGTTAGAGTGATTACAGGTAGTCTAGGCTTGTTTTAGGTACAAAAGAATCATAGCTCCCGTACATTGGCTTCTATGTCTTAGTTTTCATATCTCTAGAAAGCACTCCATCTGCTGCTCCGTTGTACTGCGGAGTGCGAGTTTAAAGATTTTTGTCGGGGTTGCAGCCTTTGAATCTTATAGATGTTTGGTCACATTCTACGAACTGGGCTTATGAAATTCTCTCTTCTTTGTTTGCTTCCTTCCTTACAGTAGAGTAGAGTCATGATCTTATGCACATACCCGAAACTCCCGAAACTGAACTGTGTGCCGACACCAAACTCAATCATGGATTCAAAGTTGAATCTTGATTTCATTCCACTTCATTTTGTTGTCAAATTAGAGAATCTGCATCACATGAAGCTCAACTAACCTTATTTAAGATGTTCATGGACTCCCTTACTGTTTGGTGGAGCATGGGTATTAGTCTAGCTCTTCTTCAATGTCTCACACTTTAATCCTGTCACGCGCTCGATCCTGCATCAAAACTATATTTTACCGTTTCATAACATTTTTGCGAACCATGTCAGTGTCTCGCTTGAAGCCATGAACAAGAGTGATTGTTCCCGAGTTAACCCTGAGCAAGGTTGACTTATTCTTCATTGAAAATGAAGGAGACATTCTCCAACATTGTCTGTAAGTGTAGGACCAAACTCTAACAACGATGTTGTCGTTCACAGAACTTTGAAAATGGCATCGAATTGCACCACAACAGGTTGACTTATCAGATCTGTGAATGAATTGGAGGAAGAAGTGACTGGATTTTTTCAAATATACATTTGTGAGTGTGTCTATACATACAAAAATACATATACATACATAAATTCATACATACATACATACATACATATATATATATATATATATAAATAAGGAATTGTCAATGCTACATCTCTAATTGATATTACTACACCATAATTAATATCTGCCACAATCGCCAGGGGTCACGGGGGTGTAGCACCCTCATGTGGTGGTACTGCTGATTGTTCAACAGACATGCTTATGGGGTCTCTAGGAACAGAGCCTCCAAAAAGTTTTTTTTTATTTTTTTTATTTTTTATTCCCCCCCCCCCCCCCCCCCCCTAAGCCCTAGTTTTGGAAGTCCTGCGCGGGAAACCCTTAACTTGCCTAGTCGGCAGCCTTGTATTACTCAATGGTCCGCTGTATCTTCGTAAATTTTTTGCGAGTAATTCTGAGTTGTTCAGAGGTCCGCTACACCTTAGGGAGAAACTTAACGGTGAACCCGAATTGTTGAGAGGCTTGTTGTATTGCTGTGTGAATTCCAACGGAAAACCAACGCCATTGAGAGATCCATTATACTTATACAGTAGGATCATTCATTTGGACTCTGTTCATACAGGTCGGTCCAATCACATATCATTAATCTATTAATAGAATTGTATATCTATCTATCCATATTTCGTTTCTTCTTGCAATATTTTATGTGAGATTTGCAGAATTTTCATGGTCATTTCTGTGTAGTTAAGTTAACATGGTATCAGAAACTCGTCTATCATGTTTACATGTGAATGTTAAGTTAAGAAAGTGAAAGTTGCTTCTTATGAGATTGTGTTGAGAAATAGAAAAAAAAGTCAAAGAGATATCAATGAAGCGTTGCTCCTAAGAGAAGCAAAAATAAACCATTATAGCAAAAATCAATATTTCCAACTTTGTAAAAGGTTGGTGAGACCAACAAGTTGGTAAGAGCTTCAAAATACTATGTTTAGAGTTTGAAGATGAGAGATATTCTATATAGTTTATTAGGATTTAGAGGAGTAATAGAAAATGTTGGTAATTCAACAAACTTTTTGCATAACCATAAGGATTGTTCATTTACAAAGTTTTAGTTTCAAAAATTGAAAGAAACAACATTAAGAGCTTTGATCTTAGTAGTTCACAATAATCTCACCAAGTTTGTGGCTATGCATATAAATCCAATGGCAACATCTATAGCACTTCAAGGTGTATACTAAATAAAAAATTAAAGTCAAGTTCTTATAATTATGAGTTATCTCTAGTCTAATAAGTTATTTGAAGGTGGTTTAATGGAAGATTATTTAAGAAAGGCTAGGAAATTAAAGATTAATTGATAAGCATGGAAGAGACTATATCTAATAGATCACTAACTTAGCTTGTATTAAATAGGCTCTCTAAAAGTTTTGAAAGCACTATTTGGACTATAACACATAAGTAGGTTGATATGACATTCAAACAAGTAGTATCAAATTTATTAATGGAAGCATATTGAAGAGAGTATTGAACCATCAATTTGGAAGATGAAAAAGAGCTTCTAGCAAGCTTCAACTATTAGGCATCTATTTTGTAATTGAACAACTTTCAACAATATCAAGAACATAGTGGATGAAGTTACTTTTATAGATATCAAAGAAGATTCCTAAGACAAGGCTTTCCAACTAAGCTACCTTTAATTTGCTATAACTATGGCCAATCTAAGTATTAGAGAAAGAATTGCGATAAATCTAAGGTGGGACCTTTTAATCAATATGGACTTCAAGTAACATATGCAAACCCAATAGAGTCTTTTAATGGTGCTTTCTTAGAGTATTAGAATAGCTACTAATTCTAATATTTAGATAATAGTACTTTGTCTCAAAGTACTAGGTAGATAATAGCAAATTAAATGAAAATTAGGTAGGACCTTGAAATATTCAAGAAGTAAAGTCTAAAAGAAGAGAATATTGAATTATAAGAAAAATTGGCATTGCTATTATCAAACCTAATTTTTAAAAAATAAAATTGATAAATATGAAGTATATGCAAAGCATGAAAAAAATTAATTTTTGTGATTTCAATTATAGATATTGAACATATAGTGACATTCTCTAATTATTATTGCTAGATATTAGATAGGTTTAATCAAATTCATGTAGTTGAATTAAGGTTGCATGATCTATCAAATTGATTGTATTTATTGATGAACCATTTGATATAAATTCTTTAGAATACAAAGACAATGTTACAATTTGGCACAAATACTACAAATATTTGAGCTACTATAGATTGAATCATTTATCAAAATATAATAGAATTAGTGGATTTCCAAACATTGATTCATATCATAAAGTATGTAAATTTTTTTAATAAAAAGATAATATCAAGAAATATTTCTTAATAGGTCTAATAATAGAGCATCAAAGATAAGACAAAAGATCTACTTGAATTTAATCAGATTAATTTAATAATCATTGTTGGTAAGATTACAATATATTTTAGTATCACAAATAATTTTTCTTCTTCCTTCATTTACAAGTAGTGAGCATCTTAGACCATTTTTATAAAGACGTTTTTTTAAATTCTAGCAATGGTGGTAATAGTGATAGTGATAGAAAAAAAATCTCATTGCTACTTTATGCATAATTTAATTTAATATCAAATGTTAAGCTAGTATTTTTTTATGTATGCTTCTAAATGTAACTCTATTAAGATTGGTAGAAAAATTAAGAATTTATCCTTATAAATAATTTTATTGTCTTTTAAATACTTGCATATTTTTTGATGAAATTCTTTTCATATTTAAGTTTTATAGTAAATAGATTTAATATAGAAGTATAAATTTGAATAAGTTACAGCCACCAAGCGACAATCTAATTAAAAGAAAACTTAATCTTAATTTAATTTTTAGTATGCCATTTTTAATCTAAAGAGTCTTTTTGGTTGTCCTGTCTTTAAAATCTAAAGCTTTTGGATTTTTCTTATTTAGATAATTATCCTACTATTTAGATAAGTCAAAAAAGTATTCATGCAAGTAGCCACCTTTTGAAATCTTATTGGCCTTTATATTCATCAAAGAATTTGTAATTGTTAAAGAATTCAATGCTTATTCAATCTTAAGAGTTATAGCAGTCACACAAACTCTATATTTCCTCTACAATACCAACAACTAATAGATTGTAACATCAAACATATAATCATAAGCCTTGTGATTGCTCGTTTTATTTATTTCAAATTAATCTAATGGGAATAAACTCATATAGGGGGATTCAAACACGGGGAATGACTAGTTGCTTAAGCATTCATGTTAAGGTCACACAATCAATTACCTCCTGAATGTATCATCTCTATTTCCAATATCTGAACATACAAGGAAACTATAATCTCCTCCTTCACCTTATTGATTTCTTTCTTACAACAATTCAGTCATACCAATAACTGCTATTTCTACCAATATATTCACCCTCATAATCTCCAACTGTAATACTGCGCCCTCACAACTTTCAGCACATAATTACCTTCTTTCTAATCATTGGAATTCTTCACACAGAATTGCCATTCACATTACGGTGTTTCACACAAACACAGACTCATTCTCTCTGCTGAACTACAATTAGATTTCAACATTCAATCCTTCTTCTTCTCAAATAATACCAATCACATTTCCATTCCATAATTCACTTCACAATATTCAAAAACTCTTAATCCTCTTATTCAAAGAAAATAACAAACAAAAGAAAAAGAAGTAGCACCAAGCTTATCCCGGCTCACAACTATCACAGCGATGGCACCTTAATTAACTTCTACAACTCATATATACTTTTTCTTGATTCTCCAGATTCTAACAGTAATTCTGTAATTAACCACTTTTAATAACTAAATCACTCATCTGTCCTCTTAAATTTCTTATTATATAGACTATTAATATATTTTACCAATATCTTTCAAAAACGAATTAATATCTATTCTACATAGCCCCACTCCTATCTGTGTAGCATCCTTACAAACACTCAATTGATACCTATCGAAAAATTATCTAACAAAATTCTACAAAAATTGCAATCCTTCTAGCCTATCCAATTAATCAATTGTTGCAGCATCTGTTATTGGTTCCACCGATTCCGGTTCCAACTGCAAATCTTCATCTTCCTCCAATCCTTCCATCGGCTCCTGCCTCAATTGAGCTGAAAGGTCTTCATTGTACTTGTCGAGTTTACGGACTTGAGCTTCCAATTTCAGGATCTGGGCATCTCTCAATTTCAACTGGTGCTGAAAGTAACTCCTCTCTTCTGGAACTTCGAGAACTGGCAACATCGATACTTGTGCTTGACCAATATTGACTAAATCCTCTACCAATCTTGTCACCTCGGCATTCAAGGCCTCAATTTCAGCCCTTAACTGCCCTGTTTCACATCTGTATTGGTCACTCAATACCAATTTCTCTTGCACCAATAACTCGACCTTTTCTTGTTCCATTACCAATTAACCCTTCATTTTTTTCAGTTCCAAAATTGAATGACTGCGAGCCTAAAATAGTTCTTGCCTGTGGGTCTCTACTATGCGTTCTCTTTCT